CCTAATATATTTTTTAATGTTTTTTTTTTTAAGATCGACTCCTCTGTATCACTTCAAATAAAACACTGTATACCGTCCATAGTGTATATTTGTTCTTATTTCAAGTCTATTAATCTCACAATTTTACTAATCTATATAAGAAAAGAGACATTTGTTTATTAAAAATTGATATTTGCAAGTGTTTGAAATAAAAATATGGGGTTTAAACATAGGGATTAAATAACAAGGGATTGTCCCTTAACTATTAAATATCATTTGTAATTTAATCATAGTTACCCTTTCATAGCCAAGATATCACAGAGCATCTCATATATCGACAAAAGCTTCTTGCTTTTTGTATGTAGTACTAAAATAATTCATATCTTCTTTAGAAAACTATGTTTTTTTAATTTTTCAGTTATATTTCTCTTTTTAAAAATAAGTTAACGTCAAAATAGTAGATATCTGACATTTTATAGATTTACTATATACAAAAATAATTTCATTCTACATCGAAGAAATAGTTGATTATCCAATCATTAATCGTAATTGTTTTTCAAAATCATATTGTTATACATTTGGGATTGATCGCCAATTTTTCAAGTGAAAGAATTATTACACACGACTATTTATTTTTAACTGATTCTCCGTGGTCTGTTTTAGTTCTATTAATTTTATTTTCATCGGCTGAATATTGGTGCCTACCCATTCTTCAATCATCGACGAAAAGAAAATTGCTTCCATTTGAACTCTTAGATAACCTTCCAAAGAAGATAATTCCAATAATAATCTGGAATAATAGATTATATACCTGCGAAATGTAGTACATCGTTTATGTGGACGATTGTTATGAAACGATTGCTACTCACTCCGTAAAAGCAGGTACCAAGTTCTCCAGTTGCATGGGATTTGTATAATTATTTGCCACTTGCCATGAATTCATCCACGTCATGATCCTGTCCGGGAATAATCATTTTATGAATACAATCGATATGCAACATTTCTCAGCTTCTTTGGATTTCTAATATTTAAGAGAAAACGCTTTCGTTTTTTAAATATATTTAAAGATATTCCATTTTATATGCAATAATCCTATTTCTTCAGAAGAAATCGTCAAAAGACAAAAAATTACCAAAAATGTTTTGCGAGTTCAAAATAAAAATTTCAGATATATAAAGCGTTCTCTGTGCTTACTGATCGCTGGTGACAATATTGTGAAATTTGGTCTTGAAGTTAAGAAACCATTCCATGCCCACAGCTACTTGCCATCCGGGAAAAAGCAAATTGCTAGGAATCGGGACTGGTCTAAGCTGTGGAGTTATATGCAACGGATGATCAATATATCCCAAGCTCTTTGCAACCTGGGTGTGCGTTTGTTCCGAATAACCGTAGAGCCAAACTTTCAAACATAGAGCTAATGATGGTATTGCCGTGGGCAATAATTCACACAGCGTAGCATAATGATCATATCTAAAATTATCATTGATCAATACAGTCAAGGATCAATATTTCAAGATAGTTCTTAAACATTTTCTGATTTATCTCTTACCTTGACCAGCCGGTGAATGCTGTACCACGAAATTCATGCACCTTACTCACATGAACTCCCAGTTCTTCCAACCATTTTTCATGATTGCTTATGTGATGTCGTATTATAGGTATATGTTGTGCAGAGCCAGTAGCTCCTTTGAATGCGGTTGCTGTCCAAATATTGGGAAAGACCGTGCTGTACTTATCCCACAATCCTAATAATTTGATATAACAGTCATAATCTAGCAAATATTTTTAAATTTCTTAATATATAAAAAAGGAAAAGTATTAAAAGAGGAAAAAGAAAAAATACCATCGGGTAAAGAAAAATTGTCCCTGGGATTGTAATGCCACACCATGGGTTCCACATATTTGCCGATGTAATGTTCTACAAAAAGAAAGAAATATTGATCGCATGAAGAGATCTGCGCGATCAAACGTTGCAATCAAGCTGTAGAGCAAGATACCGTTCAAAACCTGTAAGTCTATCGACCTCAGCATGTCATCCCAGATGATGATCTTTAGATATGGATAGGTTTCTTGAATGTATTGGGCTATCACCAGAATATGTTCCAGATACAATGACGATTTGCCATATTTGCTAGCTGCAGCTCGTTTGGTGCAGACTGAGCAAAGGCCTAGATGCCATACTTCATCAGATCCTATATGCAGATACTGTATGTCAGGATGAAAGCTAACAATCTGACGTATCAACGACTTCACCACTAGAAGAGTTCTCGGATTTGATGGGCAAATAGAACTTGGAAAAGGCTCCACTTCGCGCAATGATCTCCATTCGTCATGTTTCAAAATAAACTGTAATATAAAATCATACTAAATAACATCACAACTGGAATTTGAAAATAATCTCTGGAATTTTACAATTTTGAAAATAAAAAAAAATATAAGATTACATAGTAGCTATAAGCTTTGTACAAAATAATCCAATATAAAATCAATGAAATAATTTTTGCTATACCTCCATGTGACCAAAAGTCTGTACCAACGGAACAACTGCTAAACCGCAATCACCTGCAATCTGCAGGATATGTCTAGCCTCCTGAACTGTGTATCCACTCGCTAAGGTGCTCGGACCATTGCTTCCTATTGGAGAGAGTTCTCGGTTGTAAGGAAATGTGTCTTCCCATTCCAATAATAGTCCAGTAGCTCCCCATGTTCGCAACAATGGAAAGAGCTGTAAATTATATTGATCATAATCGTTTTTTAATTCATCGATTAATCAAACACACGAAGTGCAAATGCAGTAAAGAGTTTAATCTTTTGTTCAATGAAATATATATCAATGTGTTCTTTTTTACAGCATTGAATTTTCATTCATTACATATTCATCAATTTATTGAAATATATTTTTGGATCCAGTTGTAAGCTATTAATAGTGCTTTCCAGCAAGAGACACAAACGTCACAAACACAATTGATTGTGTTCAAGGAATCGATTACAACCGAACTGCGTTCGGTTTGACGCTCACACGCTTTAAAGCGTTTATGATCATCATTCTGTCTTTATCATTCATTAGATGTAAAACAAGAGGTCTATTTGCGTTGCTTGCACTTTTGCACCCAAGCATCTTTGTTTTCTTCCTCTTTAATGTCCGAATATATATTTATCTTATTTTACACAGGATTTTATCTGTGTATGATTGTGTCGACTTGTGTCATATCCAGATAGCACCGTGTCTGTCTTGTTGCTAAATGTGTTGCTATCAGAATTGCAGCAACCGAGTCCTCATTTGTTGGCAATTTGATGTCTTCACAATATGATAACATTGAGTAGCAACTTGCCAGCAATTTACTGACAACTTTAAAATCGCCATCATCAAAATTCGTACTATTGCCATCATGTTGCCATAATAATATACAGCATCATACAATGCTGTCATATTGCCGACAACGCAAGATAACATTTGCAGCTATCTTGCTGTTTAGCTAAATTGCTGGCAATACATATACACATTGTTATCTGCACGTTGCTACAATGTCGATATATTCGAAATCATTGAAGACAAATCTACAGCATTATAAGCAATCACAGATTTGTGCGATTTTGTTGAGATACGCTTTGCTATCTAGGATAGTTACTGGAAAGCACAGAAAAATAGTACACTGGACGTAAGGTCTGTTTATGTTGTTTGAAAACTAAAAAATTTTAAACTGAAAATTAGATAGATATATATTTGAGCGTTGAAAAGAGAGAAAGCGAAGATTTTCCACTAGGTGCAAAAAGTATAAGCAATGCGAACAGACCTATTGTGTCGCCTGTGTACGTTGCTGGAAGGCATCCACAGATGACACATGTAAAATCCAGTAAATTATTACATCTTTATTGTTTGCCAATGTTAAACAGATAAAATGACTGTGTTATACTTTCTCTTGTTGGAAAGCACCCTAAAATACAATTTCCGACGATGTAGCATTCATTTGCGTTTCTCCTCATATCAAGTGTAAACAAAAGTCACCAGCATGTGACAAGTTCGAAACGCAATTCGTAACGAGCGAAAGAAATCAGGATTATATACCGGACAGTGATTAGGCGAGAAAGGAATGTGTCCGTCGCACGAATTTTAAATGGGAAAATAATAAACGGTGCGAGTTTCTGAACGTGTTGACGCACGTAGAAGAGGCTATCAGCCTCAAGCGTTTACACGCCGCGTGTACCTTTTCGAAGTAGCAGGTCCGCGGCGGTGCGCCCTTCAAGTCAAGGTGGACTAGTCTGAAAAAGAAAGGGTGATTTGCCGAGTTGCAACATTTCATTCATCGAGAAATACGCGAAGATTTGTGTCAGTCTTGTCAGTTGTGTTACCTTACCTGTGCGAACCCAACGTCAAGGCGTCCATCTTTTCTCCCATTCCATTCATCGGTCAGACGACATTGGTCAAAGAGAGAACGACGGCTTTGGCGCGGAACGAACTCAATAGGGAATTTTTACAATACTGTGTATCCAGGAGTGAGGAGTGTGTTCGGATTCCCACCCGGGTGCTCCCCGAGTGTCATTTCAGTCTTGTTTAACATTGGCTGCGTTCAGCAGAGAAAGCAGCTTTGCAACTGTTGTAAAATTCTTCAATATGATTGGTTTATACATTTAGATCTGTCAGGAACCAAAAGCAAGAACCAATCGTATTGAAGAATTTTACAACAGTTGCAAAGCTGCTTTCTCTGCTGAACGCAGCCATTTGGTAAACAAAGGATGGAATAATGGCTTGGGTGGCACTCGGATGGCAAATACTGGGAATATCAACACAGCCGGTAGCGATCATGTAACTTTTTCCCTAGGGCGGAAACATGAAAAGTGAAATTAACTTTAGGGAAAACAGTTGTAATGACGTAAAAGAAAGATCTATGAAATCTAAGCGAATGGGTTTTTTTTTCAAATCGAATAAATAGAATAAGAGTGTAATAATTAACGTTCAACCTTGGTGAAAAAATTTCGCTGAAATTATGCCACGTTTTGGAACATTTCATCGAAATTGCTGAAATTTGCTGAAATTTCATTGAAAGTGAATTTTTCAGCTAACATACTGAAAAATCGTTGAAACTGAACTGAAATTACTCTGAAATTTTTGCTGAAATTTTGCTAAAAATGAATATTTTAGCTAAAAATCGCTGAAATTAAACTGAAATTTCTCTGAAATGCTGAAATTTTGCTAAAAAGTGTTTCAAAACGTGAAATAATTCAGCGAAATTTTTCCACCAGGATCAAAATGCTTGAAAATTGTAAAATCGCTCTATATATGTGCTATCTATTTATTAAAATGGCTGCCACGGCCAAACGTAGAGATAAACAATTTATTTAAAAATTGATTTTTAATTCTTAAAACATAAATAAATAATATAATAATAAATATAAAAAAATCTTAAAAATATTATCAACCTGAAATGGTATGAATTAGGGAATGACATCTATCTTAGCCCCTAAAAATATATAAATATAGTTTATACACGATAAAGGTAAAAATTATTTTATTGAAATAAAATTTTATAGGCATGTTTCTATAAATAGATTCCTGCTACAAATTTTCCACATGCGCTGTATCGAAGTTTTTATTTTTTCGCTCTACTCTAGTAAATGCACGTGTTAATTTTTATGGATACGTTTATAACGTTTCATCGAAAAATTGAAACCACTTTCTCCTCGTGTGTCACATGTTTCGACAGCTTGTGTCATTCAATTGGCTTACTTCATAAACGATTCTTGGAAGCATTATTCACTGCTTTAATGTATTTTTATTAAAGCTGTAGTAAATTAATAGAAAATATTCATAGTAGAAAAATGTAACAATTATTTTTAAACATAATAATGTGGCATTTCTATCAAGAAAAGTTTAATCAATAAATTATAACAAATATATACGATTTTATAAACTTTATAGATCAACATCATCTTACTTATGATATCAAATATACTTTACGTTTCAGCACGATAAACAATTTAAGTATACATGATTTACCAAGTTTCTCTCGGTGTAATCCGAAAGGTAACTCTGCTAATAAAGTGGGTCAAAGACTCGACGAGTTATGCATTTTAATAACTTATAATTAGATAAAAGATTCTAACATTGTAACATACATACAAAAAGATTGCATATTATGTACGTACGTTTTATAAGATAATTTAAAAATTTTCTCTGAAATTCAAGATAATTTTATTAAAAAATTACTAATCGTATTCATTATATACTCTTAGAATTACATAATAATTAATTAAAGATTTTGTCAGAATTATGTCAGGAAATTTATTACACCGATATTATTTATAGATGAAAATTGATAGTTTTTATATAACTATATAATATATATATCTAATACTTTTATCGGGAATATGTTGTATCATTTCAATCACAAATCGATATAGATAGGAGTGAACAATTAAAATGTTGGTAGAGCACAAGCATTCAGATATGTATTGATGCTTTCAGTAAAAGTCAGTGTAACACAATGATCTGAACACATCTGACTTTATCTTCGTTTAACATTAGCAAACCACAAGAATATATAATTATGATTCTGTGTTACACTATGTAAATCATTTATATCTCTTGCTGGAAAACATCTATACTGTATACTTGGGAGGCAATTGGAATGTTCGGGATATTGTGCGACAAGAGGCCCCTCCGTTCGATTCGGCCTCCATCCTCCATCTTCCACTCGACTATATAAAAGCTAGCCACCGCTGATGGATCGCTTTAGTTTTTCGCTCTTGCCTGCGGTCTTATCAGCTAAAAAAGTTGTTCTTTTTTTGTATTCATTGATTTTTATGCACCTATAATATCATACGATGAAGGGATATTTTCTGGTTTTATTGGTCTCACTGGTGACTTCGGCCATCGCAAACGAAAAATATACTAGAAAATACGACGACGTAAACGTGGACAAGATCCTCCAAAATAATCGTGTTCTCACCAATTACATTCGGTGCCTGATGGACGAGGGACCTTGCACCGCTGAAGGTCGTGAGTTGAGAAGTAAGTAGGAAAGAAGAAATTAAAAGAGTCGAGCATAGATCATTTAATTGATTTAGGCCTTAAAAGTTACAATGACGTTTCTGTTCTTATTTTTTACTTGGAATAAAACTAAATATTCAGCACTTTGCTTGGAATTTTTCAATTAGAAAATACTCAAACAATTAAAAAATACACAAAACGAACAAATATATAGATTGTAATTGTAATTACAGCAGAGAATTCAACATACACTCTCTCTATTACATAATTATTGCTGTGAACTTTCTCGCGCGTGTTACATCCGGGCTTTCTTTTGCATGTACGTAATAACGGTAACATATATGTATAATGAAATTTGTATGTACGTAAACTCTATATTATTAAGTTTACATAATTTTTTGTATGTAAATATTTTATGTACATATATTGTATTTATATTGTTATTCAATATATAAAGTTACATTTATGTGAACTTTATCTTATAAAGTTTATTAATTGTAAATCTCATTTTATATTTGATTCTATACATTATATTATGTATGTTAAGTTACAGAATTTTTGTATTATAAAGTTCACGTAAACAGTTTAAGTTTTAATCTTTATCAATATTTTTATTTATTATCTCTAATGAAAAAATTTTAATACCTGTAAGAATTTATTATATTTCAAATTTATAAAGATTTCTGTAAAATACCTTCGAACTTTATAAGTCTTCTTCAAAAATTACAGAATAAGAAAAAAAAAATCTTAGAATAGAATATTTTATAGAATATTTTAGAATTTACTATTTTTTATAGAGTATATTAAAATTCACATACAAATATATGAAAAATTTTAAAAAAGAAGATATAAGGTTCCTCAGAGCAATTCTCTGAAAAGTATTCCAATTTGTATAAAAAATTTCAATTACGTAAACAATGAAATACAGCATGCATTTAATTAATCATTAATGCTGTTACACATTTAAATATTAATAATTATAATAATGTTAATTATACATGTAATTTAAACATTTTATAATAATAAAACGGAAAAAATTTTTTTAGAAAATTATAAACCCAAGGAATGAACAGTAATTTCATAAAAAATGTCAATTTAATAAAAGAAATTGATGAGGCCATATAAAAACGATACTATACAAATTTATATAATAACATGGAAGTCCAAATTAAAGTCTACTAGTAAATAGATTTAGTTTACGAAATATAAAAATTCAATAATATTTTTCAGACCGCGTGTATGTGAGAAACATAACCGATAAATAAGAGCCCTATACGGTCGAAGCTAGATCTTAAAATGCTTTAAATAATTCAATCTTGAATCACTAAATATGATATATATGTACTTTGACATTATATAAAA